AGGATCCTAAAAGAGGCAAATAACATACAAAGGAGCTCGAATTTGTCTGGCAGCAGACCTCTCAGTGGAAACCATACAGGCCAGGAGTGGGATGACGTTTTTAAAGTGAGGGAAATAAAGAAATAATAGAAAAAGTTTCCTAGACCTAAAGAATATGATTTCCAGATAGAAGGGGCTCACTGAGTACTCAGCACAACAAATGAATGAATGAAGACCACATCATTCTCAAATTTTGTAACACCACAGATAAGACAGTAACACCTGTTACACTTCCTGTCAAGATGCAGTAACAGGGACTGCATCCCTGTTACCCTCCCATCTGAAAGAACTAAAACAATAGGGGAAAAAACAGACAAAAACAACAGTTTTCAAGACATTGTACATCACATGATGTATGATTTTTAGGAAAGGAGAAACTACTGGGGGGAGTTTGATGATCTCCCTGAGTTGAGAAACAGTTACAGGATTAATAGTAGATAAGACATTGCAGAAGAAAAGATTACTGAATTTGAAAACATGAAACTCAGAAAAAAGAGTGAAACAAAAATAAACAGCTGTGGGACAATTTCAAGCAGAGCGATATTTGTATAGATTAAGTCTTTAAAGGTGGGAGAGGAGAAATTTTAAGAATTCTTTTTAAAAATGGCTGAATAATTTCCAAATTTAATGAAAACTATAAACCCACTAATTGAAGAATTTTAACAGATTCCAAGCACAGGAAACATGTAAACTACACCGAAGCATATAGTACTCAAACTGTTTAAAACCAGTGATAAAGAGAAAATCTTAAAAAACTGCCAGAAAAATAAATAACATAGAGGTCAAAGATAAAAATGATAACAGACTTTATAAAAGTAACAATGCAATCCAGAAGACAAGGAATAACATCTTTAAAGTATTGAAAGAAAAAAAAATCTGTCAACCTAGAATTCTATACTAGTGAAAGTATTTTTCAAAAACGAAAGGGGAAACAAAGACTTTTCGAGATGTGTAAAAGCTGAAAGAACTTATCGCCAGCAGACCCATTACTACAAAAAATGTTAAACCAAGTCCCTCAGGCAGAAGAAAAATTATGTCAGGTGGAAATGTGGATCTATACAAAGGAATGAAAAGCACTGGAAATAGTAAATGTTCTTTCTCATCTAAATCTCTTTAAAGGGTAATCAATTTGAATTTTTAAGGAATGAAGTACTGATACACTAACATGGATGAATCTCAAAAACATTAAACTAATTTTTAAAAAACCATGCACAAAAGACCACATATTGTATGATCCCATTTATATTAATGTTAATGGCCAGAATAGGCCAATCTGTGGAAAAAGAAAGCAGACTAGTGGTTGGGCATGGAGTGGGATAGGGAGTGGAATGGGGAGTGATTGCTACTGGGTACAAGGTTTCTTTGGGGGATGATAAAAAATGATTGTGGTGATGGTTGTAAAACTAAATATAATAAAACCCATTGGAGCATACATTTTAAACAAGGGCACTTCATGGTATGTCAAGAGTTACAGCTTAACAAAACAACATAGATAAAAGATAATAACAAAAAATACTTAGTTGATCCACAAGAAGACAAAAGATTGATAAAGCAGACCTAACTATATACTGCCTGTAAGAAATCTTTAAAACATAAATCCACAAAATAAGTTAAAATAAAAGGATAGAGAAAGGTATGCTAACAATGAAAAGAAACCTGGATTAGCTATATAAATACCAAACTAGATTTTAGAGCTAAAAAATATTATCAGGGATAAGGAAGTTTATTTCATAATGATAATGGAATTGGTTCATTAAGATAATGTAACAGAACTAAACATTTATGTACCTAATAACAACTTCAAAATATGTGAAGCAAAAACTAATAGGATTTCAAGGAGAAATAGATAAATCCAGTTATATTTGGAAATTTCAGTACACTTCTCAATTATTGGTAGAACAAGTATACAGAAAATTGGCAAGGATGTAGACGATTTGAACATAACAATCAACCAACTTGACCTAATGGACGTTTATATTTTAATAGAGCACTGCACCCCCAAACAGCAAATACACATTCTTTTTAAGTATTCATGAAACATTTACCAAGATAGATCATATTCTAGGGCTATAAAAAAAAGTCTCAATAAACATAGAAAGATTTAAATCATATAAAGGGTATTCTGTGACCACAGTGTTGTTAAATTAAAATCAGTAACAACAAGGTCTCTGGAAATATTTGGAAAGTAAATAAAACACTTCCAAATAAATGAACAAATCAAAAGGATATTCAGAAAGTATATTAAGCTGAATAAAAATTTAAAACTTCAATATTTGTAGGATACTGCTAAAGCAGTACTTAGAGGAAAATGTATAGTATTAAACACCATATTAGAAAAGAAGGCTGGGTGTGGAGACTTGCGCCTGTAAACCCAGCTACTCAGGAGGCTGAGGCAGGAGGATTGTTTGAGCCCAGGAGTTCGAGGCTGCAGTGAGCTATGATGAGATCCCTACACTCCAGCCTAGGTGACGGAGTGAGACTCTGTTCTCTATTAAAGAAAAAAAAAAAGGAA